GGGCACCTGTGACGAGGCGGGGTCCCACAGAGGTCGGTCTAGGACCAGTCTATTTTTGTATATGTGAACGACCTCGACAAGGGTTAGACCAGAAGTGGTCCCCCTGTTTGCAGATGATTGAATTAATGAGGAGAATTAAATCGAATGAGGACCAGGCAGGACTCTCAAAGAGACCTGGACAGACTGGACACCTGGTCCAGCAAATGGCTTCTCGAATTTAATGCCTGCAAAAGCAAAGACATGAAGATAGGGAAGGCACAGAAGACCACAGACCAGAGTATAGCTAGGTGGCCAAAGACTGCAAACCTCACTCAAGGAGAAAATCTTTGGGGCGAGTATAACACCGACATTCTCCGAAGCACACATCAATCAGATACTGCTTGCAGCATATGGGCGCCTGGCAAAACTGAGAACAGCCATTCGCGATACCTTAGTAAGAATCATTCAAGACACTGTACAACCGTGTATGTCAAGGAGGCCCAAACTGGAGTATGCAGCACCTGTTTGGAACCCGCAACTTGATAAAGCACGTCAAGAAACAGAGAAAGTATACAAAGGTTTGTGCGACAAGGTTAGTTCCAGAGCTAAGGGAAGTCCTATGAAGAAAGAAGATTAAGGGAAATCGCCTGAACACACTGGAGGACAGGAGGTCAGGGGAGACCATGATAACGACATATAAAATACGGTGATGACAAGGTGGACAACGTACCTTGATGTTCCAGGGAGTGGACACAGAAACAAGAGGCCACAATTGAAGTTGAAGACCACAAATGGTCGAGAGATAGTAGGTAAAGTATTTCTCAGTCATAGAGTTTAAGGCAGTGGAATAGCCTAGAAAATGAACGTAGTGGAGCAGGAACCATACACAGTTTTAAGACGCGGATTGATAAAGCTCATGGAGCGGGAGAGAGAAGGGCCTAGTAGCAACCGTGGAAGAGGCGGCCAGAGCTAGACTCGCCCCGCAACCCCACAAATAGGTGAGTACAAATAGGTGGAGTCACACACACCCACACACAGCATATGAACTCAAACACATATGGTAACGCTTAGTAAAGCTAGCAAAGTCCAGGGTATTTCTCCAGATGGTCTGTAATGTACCACTGTGAATAAAATACTTTGCCATTTTTTCTTGAACATTTATGAGCGAGTTGTTTCTAAAATCATTAATTTGATCACACTCCAGTACATAATGACGCAAAGGTGTGACAATAGTCCATCTGGCAAAGTTTAACAATTCGTTTGTCTACATCTGGTGGTGGTGAATTAAACCTCTACTGGAACACTATATCGGTATACAAGAGTTCATGAAAATTAAACACGAGTGATCCAGGATACCACTGTTGAGGCAAAAGGAGAGGTATTATGTTATAAATGCTTTGCTGTGTTTAACCAATTTCCCAAAAAACCTACAGTTAAAATATATACAAGTCCATCCTGGCCCATATTAAAATCACTAGTCCAAGATGGGACCAAAACAGTCTAAGTGCAGGTTATTTGTGAACTGTTCCAGCCCTTGTATTGTTATTTATCCTTACATGAAATGCACATCAAAAGAAAGAATGAAGATGATAATCATGTATGAAAACAGAGTCAAGAGTCACAGACAGAAAACTTATTGAATATGGCAAATGACCTACATGTAGCCACAGGATACTGTAGGTTAATAAGAGACTGACAAAAGGCTATAAAATGAAAAATGACTTTTAGGAAAGGATCCTCGGGAACAAACCGAAGATAGGCCTCACCTTAGAATCAGCCTGTGGTTAGAATAATATTCAAAGAAACACTGAAGTGTAAAAAATATTCTGGCAATGTTCTTGTTGGTTATGAGAATGGCTAGATGTAACATAACGCAAGTAAATTATAGAAGGTTCTCTCTCAGTTTTCTTTGTAATGTGATTGAAAAATTGTAGCCAAACTTTACAAGTTCTGAAAAGCCTGGCCAGTATGTGTTATTCAATACTGAACTTTTTTAATAGGCATTGCAAAAACCACTTTTGTAAATAATAGCTTCTTAAGAGAGACCTTACTGTGCTTTTATTTTCACAAAGAAGCATGATAAAAGAATGTAAAGATACATAAAACCTTTAACACACAAAAGCAGTTTTAAAGTAATAATACCTAAGGTGAGAGTGAGTAAGTCTAGTTCATGTCGTCTTGCTACTTTTCTTCTAGCTTTTTGCTAAAAAACGCTGTCCCTTCAGCTTCTTCTTCTGCCATTATTCGATCACGCAATTAACGAATTTAATCGATCAAGTTACCATCAGCTGAGAGTTACAAAGCTTCAACTGATTACAATTTTGTTACCTGAAATTGTTTCGGATCAGTGTTATAGACCAACATACAATTTGGGCCATAGTGTAATAATATTAGTGGCATTTGTGTGTGCGCGTGTTATGTTTATGTGTGGTGTAGGCCAAGAAAACGACATAATAGGTGAAAATGTATTAAATGTGGTTAATGAAGTAACTCGAAATAACAGAGTGATGTAGTATATTTAAATCATTTTTATGGATTAAAATTTTGTAGATTTTCTTGCCTACTATACTTTTCCATCTTGATAATAAATGTAGATAACTAAGCCCCCCATTAAATGAAAAATGGAAAAAAGTTGGCAGCTATGTTAACAAAAGCTATCAGAATTGTTACAATAATAAAAATTTACTTGATAACTCGAGATTAACACTTTAAACAATAATTTTTTATACAAAGAATTATACAGTAATATCTGACTGATAATGAGTTAATTTTTCCTCATTAAGCAATCATTATAAGCTTATGTTAACAGAAATTTAGATTTAGAAAGAAAATTGGGAAGTATTGGTTTGGCAACAGAGTTTTGAGTGGAAAAACCTGAAAATTACAGTCAATTAGGCAGGAACTTTGGTAGCTTAAAATACATGTTGAGTAGAGTACATGAGTGGGTGTATGATGACCTGCCTATCATGGGCCTACTGCAATGTTTCTTTATTCTTGTGTTGTGTTCATCCAATTTACATCCTTAACTGCAGCATCACCACTTAGATAAATGCTAGTGAACATGTTACTCTCACCTCTGAACGATGTTGTGTTTCATGGTTGATTGTCTCAGAGGATGACTCTTTCAACTCACGCTCTGTGTCAGCCAGGCGGGCACGCAACTGTTCCAACTGTTTCTTGTATGACACTTCAGACTCCTTCGCTCCATATTCCTTTGAGGCTGCGGCTTCTAGCTGGTCTTTGTATGACTGTACTTCCTCTTGGAGGGATTCAACCTGACAATTATAGTCATTAAATAAGAAATGTAAATTTTCAACAGATTAATGTGAAAACAACAAAAGATTGTACAATGGAAACAAATCACTGATTTTTGGGGGGTTATCCTATGTAATTTAAGCTATGTATAATAATTGTATTTATGTGTACCCGTGCCTCAATAAACTTGCTAACCTTAAAGAGCTTTTACCAACCTGGTCTCTGAGCTTTCTCTCTCTCTGAGCCAAAATAACATCAGCCTGCTGAAGGGTTTCCCGTAATGAGTTTTCTGTGACTTCGAGTTCCTCCACACGAGCACGTAAATAGCTTTCATTTTGCTGTATCTCTGACACCTTGCGGGCAGAGTCCTGGGCCTGAAAATTAACACCTGTTTAGAATGCCTATTATTTCCCAGCAGCAAAACTTTAGGAATACAAAATTCTGCAACATACTGCAAATTGGAGTAAAACAAATACATACAGGTACTGTACAGTATTTTTAATAAATACGGTACGTACATATATAAACAAATACAGGTACTGAAACATTATATAAAAAATACAAGCACTGTACAGAAACATCTCACTGTTAATTTGCCAATTTTGCAAAATTAGTTTGGAGATTTCAGCAAACCATCCTAAAAGTACTCACTTGGTTTAGTTCTACGGATAAAGCATTATTTTCAGTTTCTAAGGACATTAGACGATGTACAATTTCCTCCTGGTCCACGCAGCTCTGCACGCAGTGCCTGGTTACCTTTCTCAGCTTCCATTAACTGTAAGCAACATGCATAAAACATTATTAGATTAACGAATGACAAAAATGCTTTATTACCAAAATTAATGGATGTGATTTGTGTAAATTTTAATGGAATAAGGGAAATTTTAAGTGTTATTTTTCCCTGCTGCCCATGGTAATAATACTTTTTCCCTTTAAAAATTACTCTTATTGTTATTTTTGGCCAAAATATTAATTCCGGTGTAATTATCCCTTTCTTTTATCTGGAGTTCCTTTTCACTTCCCCCAAGGTTCCACACCCGTTCTTTCAGTTTTAGTTCTGAATTTTCAATTTCAATGAGGCGGTCCAGAAGGTCGGAAATGCGAGCGCCCTCACTAGTTTTTTGAATTATTTCCCTTTAAAGTGGGTCTTAACCGTTCTTCTGAAGCTTCTAATTGCTGAACTTTCAGAGTCTGTTGATCGCTGCTGCCTCCAGTTTCCCCATACGCTGCTTGTATGATGTTACATGGCTAGACATGATCTTGTCAGCTTCAACGAATTGTCTCGCGATATGCACACTCCTAAAAAAATTAAATGTTATACATGGTTTCAAAACAATGGACCCAATTTCAAAGCAATATATATTCAAATCGAGTCCATCACTTTGAAACGCCCTGCATTAGGCACAAATCAAGTTTTATTTTTCATAAATTTCATTTAAAAAAATCAAAACCAATACTTAAAAAAGAACAGGACATTTTTTTTATGTTACCTTTTTTTCAAGATCATAAAATTTTTGTCTGAGGTCAGTTTCTGATTTAACTAAATTCCCCATCTTCTTATACGTACTGTCACCTTTACTACACTTTTAAGGGTGCTTCCCCTTCCACACAAAAAACACTCTCCCCATGAAATCCATTTGCACAAATGTTTGCAATGGAAATCCCAAATATCTCCATTCCCGCCTGAAAGTTCAAGTTTCAGTTCCAAGTGTCTAAAATCTTTCCTCCTGTTGGTTTCGCTCCTTTTCCAGTTCTTGCAGCTGGGT